CTATAGTACTAAAATCTCTAGTTTGAATCGGAGCTTGACCGAGTATGCTTCAACATTCAAATCCCAATCAGTTTCTTAATCCTCCAAGTGCGAATACATATAAATGGCTCTTTGGATGGAATGGTTTCATATCAAAGTGCAAATGACAGAAATTTGTACTGTGATTATAAAACATATTACCGCCACCCATAGCTAAATTTTAGCGCATATCAAGGATTCTTTGTATTGAAGATTTTTTTTAATGAAACTTGTATATACAGTATAATTTCAACTTGTGAGATCTTTCCTCACTGACCCCTTAACTTGGATCGAAGAAATGAGATCGCCAATATTTCAGTAGATTACTTTCCTACACACCCACTCCACATGACTTTAGCAAAGATGTTAGGCCTCATGAAAATTTTCCTTTAGCAAAGGTGTTAGGCCTCATGAAATTTTCCTTTAATGTGTCTTGAAAGCACCTCTTTTCTTTTCAAACCCCTATCAAATTTCTATGTAGCAACAAAAAGGCTGGTTATGTTTCGAACACACGAATTTTATAGGAATTTCAGGTGCGAGGGGTACGATTTCTGCAACAAATGAAAAGTTAGTGCTCCAAACTAAAGACAGTCCCAGCAACTCCACTGTACTACTCCCTCCGTCCCAAAATAAAAAGTTAAGACACTTATTTTGAGACGGATGGAGTATATCTAAAGGTTTCTCTAGGCAAAAACCCGTTGTGGCACCATATTTCACGAGGAAGTAGAGTTTTACCATATCTTAATCTAGATATAACTCTTAGCACCGAAACAACGAGAACTAATATTTTTTCTCTCAGAACGCGACAAGTGATGGCAGTTTTAGATACTACAACACTAAGATAAAAGCCAGTACAGAAGTTGTATGTACACACAAATTTAATCTATACGATATAGCTTGTATGAGGGTAACTCACGTGGCCCTCGCGTCACCCCTGGCGACTCGGGGGCGATCCCATCTATCGCCGCCCGCCTCCCCTCATCCCCCTTTCGTCCCTCGCCGCCGCCGGAGACGGCCGCCGGCAAAGCCCGCGTGGACGCCGGGGAAGGTGGCGGCGGGGATCTCGGCGCCCGGATCGATCTCGTCGGCCTGCGGGCTGGAGTATCGCGTCGGTGGCCTACGGATCCTTGGGCGGCGGCCCTATCGGTGAGGCGGCGTCGTCCGGCGGCTGGAGACGTCTGCAGGCGACGCTGGCCAGCGTACTCGGCCGCGCGGGTGGCGGGTCGCTGGTGGAGTCCGGCCATAGCGTGGTTCTCCATTGCGTCAGATCTAGAGGTTCCCCTCTCTCCTGCTGCCTCTGTCGTCGTCCTGGTGGTTTGCGGCTGCAAGCTCCGGTGGTGGTGAGCTCTGGTGGTGTACTTTGGGTCCGGGGAAAACCTTGGCCAGTCTAGCCGGCCCGGCGGCGGCGACGCTCATGGGCACCGCTTTCCTTCATGAAGGCGCAGCTGAGGGCCCAATCTACCCACCCCGATCCCTGGCCGGGTGAAAACCTTCAATCCTTTTCGGATCTGGCGGCAGCGGCGCTTTTTGCGTCGTGACCTTCCTGGAGGTGTCGTCAGGGGCACTGGGGCTCGGTTGGGAGTGCAGAGGATCTACAGGTCGAGGGGGTAGGACCAGTGGTAGAAGGTGGTGTTCGCGAAGGAGGAGCGGCGTTGCATCTGATACGTCGACAATGGCGGGTCTCAGCGGCATGGAGCAGCGGGGTCTCGCTGCTAGGCGCGTGTTGATGGACGAGCGCAGGATGGTGGCGTTGTCTGGCATCGTGGTGGCGTCGACGACAGCTAGACCGGGCAAGGTAGATGCAGCAGTACATCTCTGAAGATGGATTGGTGGCAGGTGGCTGCGGCGGCTCATACCCGGGAGGCGTCCTGGTTGAGGAGTGCGCCGGACCGGTGGGTGACCCATACCCGGCAGGCGTCCTGGATGGGAACTCAGGTCTTAGATGTTAGGTTTGGCTGCGAGGTCTGTTTGGTATTAGACCTAGACTATCAGCATCCCTTCATCAAATGAATAGGAGTAGCAACAGATGTTGCCTAGACGGTGGTTTCAGACTTATTGCTATATTTCTTTGTTAGGTCTTTTGAGAATAATTAATAAAGTGGATGTATGCATCACCCAGATGCAGAGGCCAGGGTCTTCCTCCTTTTCTAAAAAAAAAGCTTGAGATATGATGCATTGGGAGCACCCTAAAAAACTGTGACGAAGATATTGTCATCAAGATCGCGAGGGAATCTTAGATTACAGCAATGTCTAGACACTGTAGTGAAACCACCAGTACATGCAAACCCAGCAGGAACTCCTAAGGATTTGGCTGCCCCCTTCCCGAAAGTCCATGATCTGCCCAGCTGCTTGCACCTAATGTTATTGCTGCAAATCATATGCATATGGTAGTTCAAGCTAAATTGATTGGGTGTCTTTGGATGCTGATTTGTGCTTGATGCTTATTTGGCCCTCTTGCCCATGATTGCATGGTGGGAGGGAATCCTTCACCAACTTGGGTTGGATTGTACTTGCAACCTCGATTGGAATACTAGGAAATAGTCAATCGATGCTCACATGAACTTGGGAAGAGCACTTGGCCAAATGAGGGGCCTAGCTAACAGGTTGGTACAATCAAGGAATAATATCTCATTAATTGCTTTCACACACTTCATCAGACCCATGCATTTCCTGGAATCATTCTACACCTTCATATAAAAAAAACAAGAAGTCTTATTATCATCAGAGTTAATGTAATCATGTGCATTTCAGGCATCTTTAGGCAGTACTATTACTAGTATCTAAAAAAAATAGAGGTATTGTACTTCCTAAGCTTTATTTCCCCCTTCTTGCTTAGGAGGTAAGACTTTGCTGATGATGCCATGTGAGGCCTCCTCCTCACATGCAGGCGTCCAGCTCCCCTCCACAATCTTCAGAACTGCCATGCATGCATGGCACACAGTTTGAAGCTGAAAAGAGCAAGTCTTCATCAAGCTAGACGTAATGATAAAGTACTAATGCAGTCAGAGGGACATGGGATTTTCTAATCAAATCAGTCTGCTGATGCACCTAGATGGCAAGTTGAGAGCCCCAGAAACTTGTTAGTTAGTTTAGATCTGCATTATTGCAGGCTAACAGATTAAATTATCAAGTGAGCAGTTTGTTTTAGCTCTACCATTGTTTTCATTCTGCCTCAGCAGTTTGTTTTTGGCGTCCATTAGTTGGATACACGTAAGGCAAAAGGATTCCCTGAGCCTGAGCCAGTCTTAAACTTTCCTTTCCACGTATGCTAGGAGCCAAATACTCAGGGGCGATCGAGGTACACATATGTCAGAAGAAATAGTTTCAGAACTGAGCACGGTTTGTGAATCTAGCCCTAGCTACGTGTTCATATGAGTTGTACATATATGTCAGGAGTATATGTTTTTCTAATGTATTTGAAGCGCATATCCTGTGTGGGCTCTCACGATGCACACAATCAGTTAAATTTTCCTGGATCCCAATAATTGAAAAATAGTAATAAGTAAACCAATGAAATGAGACATCAGGTGATTCAGAGATCTGATGGTTCAAACGCAGATTTTTACTGTCCAGCAAGCGTGTAATATCCTGCAGTTTGAAAGTGACTGTGAGGGTGGTTTCAGTCTGATCTCTACACTCTGATGAAGCAGCAGAGCTTTTGGAATCTCATTCAATGAGCAGAGGACTTGTTCTCTTGTAGCATAGCATTCAGTGCAACAAGAATGGGAGTGTTTTTTTAGTAACCATCGTATCATCACAGAATTCAAGGGGAGAAAACTGTAGAAGCCCATTCTCCACATCACAGCTGGAAAAGGCTGAAAAACAGGCTGAAAGAATTGCTTGTGCGGTGGCCCAATAGCTAGCAATTTTACATGAGTGAAAAATAAATGAATGTCACTATCAGTTTCTTCTTTTGCTAAACATCTTATAAAAAGTTATAGATGGAGTATGACATTATAACACATACCACTCCTCTCATTAAGGGCCTGTTTGGTTCAAAAGAATTTCATAGAAATTGTGGAGGATTCTGTTTCCTAATATTTTCTTGTATAAACCTTGTTTTGTTTATATAGGATAAGAAACAATAGGAGGAGGTAACTTTTTGAAAGGGAAAAAAAATCCATCGAGTCCAACCTCATTGAAAATTTTCATTTATTTCTGTCATGACAATTGACAAGTAGGGCGTCTACTTATAACACTCTGGTTCATTAAAAAAATATAACACTCTAGATATTTTGTTGCCTTTTCTTTTGGTGCAACCAAACAATATTTACTATCAGTCCTGCTAAGTCTCGGTCGACTAAGACTTCACTCGCTCATCATTCTAACCGCTTGGTTGCTCTAGAAACATTGTAATGGGAAGATTTTCGATGATGCACAAGTCCCCATCGACAACCTGCTGACTTTAATCAAAGACGAGGCAAGACTTTCGGCTAGAGCTGGAGCCACAGGGCTCGAGAGCATCATTCCTGTAATATGAACCTCTGTAGGGGCTGAGCAACCCCTTCCGATGCTCACTCTGTTTTCCTTTTTGCCTCCAGCATGTGTACGGCCAAGGGACAAGCTCTTCTGTTACTCTCCCCTATCAATGAAAAGATACGCCCCTGAGCGTATTTCTCAAAAAAGTCTCAGTCGATGCTATAGCCGTGAGATCTTATATTAAAATCTGTGTAAAATTTTCTTTTCAGTTTTTTTCCCCTCTTGCATGTTAATGTCACTTGACTGAAACTTGATTAAATTTCAATCGACTAAGACCTAGGCACACCCATTTACTATATGTAATTCTGTTCTCAGTTCTTGCGGAATTTAACTCTTTTTTTGCGGGGTTGCGGAAGTTAACATTGCCATGACAGTTGTTCCTAAGTGATCTTTTATGCTCTAGCAATTTCGAAACCCTGCTAAACAAACAAACCCTTATTATACCTCAATAATAGTGCATTAGACCTTTGCAAAAAAAAATTGCCTCGAGAAAAAGAAAAAAAATGGTGCATCGATTTGAGCAACTGATAAACAAACCGAAGAGACTCAGAGGTCACGAGGAGGCGGGCTCGGAGCCGCAGGCAACCACGAGAGGTCGCCGAGCTCCCTCCTCTATATATACACCCCCCGCCGCAGTTCTCTGCACCAGCCAAACCAACCGAGGCCAACCATCAACCAGCAGCGCCCAGCCACACAGCGCCGCCGCAGCCCGCTCGACCGATCAATCGGCGGCAATGGAGGAGCGGGGCAGGGGCGCGAGCAACAAGATCCGGGACATCGTGCGGCTGCAGCAGCTGCTAAAGCGGTGGAAGCGGATGGCGGTGGCGCCGGGCGGCCGGGGCAAGAACGGCGGCGGCGCCGTGCCCAAGGGGTCCTTCGCGGTGTACGTGGGCGAGGAGATGCGGCGGTTCGTGATCCCCACCGAGTACCTGGGCCACTGGGCCTTCGAGGAGCTGCTCCGGGAGGCGGAGGAGGAGTTCGGGTTCCGGCACGAGGGCGCGCTCCGGATCCCCTGCGACGTCGAGGCCTTCGAGGGCATCCTCCGCCTCGTCGCCGCCGGGAAGAAGGACTCCGCCGGCGCCGCCGCCGACATGTGCGACCGCTCCTGCTCCTCCGAGACCGAGATCCTCTGCAGATGAGGCGACGGCCGGCTGGCTGCTCCCTCGCTCTGAAGAATGAGTTCAGACGGGGAGCGGGGATCTCCTCCTTCCTTCTTCTTTTTTTTCCTCTCTCCTTTCTTGCGTTCTCCCGATCTTTCTTCTCGGTTTTAGCTGAAGAAAGGGGAAGAGGTTGCAGCTAGCTGGATCTGTAATTTGTACAACACCAAGGATTGTTCCAATGCAAAAACTTAGGCATTTGATGCTGTTTGTGCGCGCCATTATCCGTGTCTCTGCATTCCCCTGCCTCCATTGTTTCAGAAACTGAAACCAATTAAGCAACTGAAGAACAGTAGCCTGTAGTACTTCACAGTTCAGATGCCCCCTTTGCTTAACAGTTCAGCAACCGAAACTGTTCCAGGCCAAGGCACCGGCAGCAGGTCACAAGAGTGTTGGGGAAAATGCAACTGCTCTGGCATTAAGAAAAGCCGTTTTCTTTCTCATGGCTCATGGCATACGCATGTACAGATGCACCATGCCCACTCCATTGACAAGAGTTGCTTATCATCTACTACTACGTCCAGGCTCGCCTGCGCTTCACGCCATGGCGGCCGAGATGATCGATCGGCCCCATGTGCGCACCGGTGCTCCGGCCCCAGGCCCGCCGCGGCCCTAACTCCATTCTTCATTGTCAATACATGGGTGGAATCAGCATCTTCTGAATCATGTTGCCACTACCTCATATAGTGTCAAGGCATTAATAAGAGAGGAGCCAGATAAAAAGGGAGATTGCGTAGTACATGTTCACATGGCAGGCGCACGGCGCACCTGGCCTCAGGCCCTCGGAGCATCAACACACGAGGGGGGAGGCTCTCTGCATCTTTACCTGAATCTTGCATGTGCTGCTGCAATGGAGCAGCAGGTGTGTGTGGGTAGCCGGGGATCGATCGGTTTCATTTGTTTGGTGTCCGAGCTCTTGATTTTGGAATCGGAATCATAATCTCTACTTGCTTTGAACTGAGTTTTTGGTGCCATCATAGGATCTGATGTAGGTCTTCCTCCAGGGCAGGAAGGAGGCAGTCTGAAACTGACAGAGGTTTCTGTCAAGCACATCGAGGACAAGAAATCAGGTGAAAGTGATGCTCTCCTTGATCCCAACACCAACAGCTAAGGAAAGTACAGTGATTGATCAATGTTCCAGCGCACTGAACATCAAAAAAAGGTAAAAATGTTGCAGGGCAGTAGGACACTATGCCCGAATCCAGTAATACCCAACAAATCAGGTGAAAGTGATGCTTTCCTTAATCCCAGCAGCTAACGGAAATGCAGTGATGGATCAACGCTGCAGCACACTGAACTTCAGAAGAAACAAAATGTTGCACGACACTTTACTTGAATCCAGTAATGCCCAAATGGTGGAAAACGAACTGTGCAGAGACAAGCACAAAACAAGGCAGCTCTTCTTCAAGTTGTTGACACGAACTGGGTGAAGAATAGTTATTCTTCACCCCCTCTATTTTACCATCAATGCACCGTAATTTTACGTTCCGTAAGTTTTATCTTATTTCCGACGCAAAAAAAGACCGTAAAAAAATATATAATCACCGTAAAAAATATTTTATGTTATGTAAAATTACAAACGTAAAAATATAGTCTAAAATACACATAAACTACAAATTTTCTTGTCTTATGACCTATATTTTTATTTTCTTATGTCAAATTTTACGTAGTGAATCAATAAAAATGTAATTATTTGAATTCCAAACGTAATTTAATTATGAAATGATCGTAAGATTACCTCGGGTGAAGAATAACTTATTCTGCATATATATATACACACACACACATACATATAAGACAAATTTTATCTACCACCGGTGGTAGTTACCACCACTTGAGTTTTGTATGTTGTATGTAGTATCAATCAAAGCGGAGAGTATGTACGCGTAGTATGTACTATATAAGAATGTTTAGGTAGTATATATACTACTTTTTTGATAGTATGTATCATATTTTGAGTATGCTTCTTTTTACGTACAAATATGTACGTATTTCACAAATCTAATAAAAATCATGGGCCAAACTTGCAATTTTTTCATGTAACTCACTTTGAAGTATCTTATATATAGTACATGAACATACTTAAAATGATAAAGTAAAATATATACTACCATATGGTAGTATATGAGACATGTGAGGTAACTACCCTCAGGTGGTCCCTCATAAAAAAAAACTACCCCCAGGTGGTAGGATGGATTTTTCCTATATATATTGTGTTATTATTCATCACTCAGGGTGCAAAATAGGTTATTCTTCACCCGAGGTAATCTTACAATCATTTCATAATTAAATTACGTTTCGAATTCAAATAGTTACATTTTTATTGATTCACTACGTAAAATTTGACATAAGAAAAATAAAAATATAGGTCATAAGACAAGAAAATTTGCAGTTTATGTGTATTTTAGACTATGTTTTTACGTTTGTAATTTTACATAATATAAAATATTTTTTACGGCGATTATATATTTTTCTTACGGTCCTTTTTTGCGTCGGAAATAAGACAAAACTTATGGAACGTAAAATTACGGTGCATTGATGGTAAAATAGAGGTGGATGAAGAATAACTATTCCTCACCCAGAATGACGAATAGAGCGACCCTATATATATATATATATATATATATATATATCCTTGTTTTTCATGTAGCAAAGATAAGTTATACAGATCGAACATTATCCTTGGGCAATATACATGTCCAGTCAAGAGCGAGAGCTTGAGATCCAGATCCAAGGATGGCATGCCGTTCGACTGAATCGGCAGTCCATTCTGTTTATTGAGCAGGCAATTTACTAGGGATGCCAGGAAATGCATAGCCCATTCAGTTTTAAATGGAGCTAGCATACCATCCATGACGCAGAGTTGATGGAATCATGGACGGGATACACAACCCCATCATTTACAGCTCTCAGCTATATATCTATCGCGCGGAGATTTAGAAACTTCTATGCTTAAGCTCAGGTGACTCTTCTTTTGCAAAATCGTCATCAATTTTGTGGACTGTGTAATCTTGCACGGATGTTCATTCGACATGTTGGGACGGTTATCTTATTGTAGGCTCTGCTCAAGCTTAAGATTTTCTTTCCTTTGCAAACTCATAGTTAATTTGTGGACCGAGCACGGTTTGGCATGTCAGGATGATTTTCTTTTATGGCTCTGCAAAAGCTCATGCGACTCTTTTTTTTTGGCGAACTCATTGTTGGTTCATGGACCGTTTGATCTTGCACGGAGATTCAAACCGACGTTTATGTTTTTAGGAAAAAAAAATACAAGAAAAATCACGTGCCTGTGAGGAAGAGGAACCCAAGACCTATCACTTCACAGCATATGGGAGTACAAATGCAGCAAAAGTAAGTTTGTGTACAGTGTAAACAAGTTTTTTTTTGGCAGCATGTATTTTGATTATCTGTTTTTCTTACTTATATTGTTTTCTTCCATTTTTCTCTTTAATTTTGTTATTAGGCATGTCACCAGATTATGCACTTGCTCTTTCTTTGTTTGGCTGAAATCCAAAATTGAACATATTTTTGTTACAGTTTTTGGTTTAGAAGTATGTAATTATGTATTTTACTAACTAATTGTTTTAAGTAGCGGTAATATAGGAAGGTTTTTTGGTTTAGAAGTATGTAATTATGTATTTTACTAACTAATTGTTTTAAGTAGCGGTAATATAGGAAGGTGCTTAGCGTGAACGAAAAAGAATGAATCAAAGAAATAATTCTTTAAATTTCATATGACTGTCCTCCAAGCTGGCCCTTTCTTTTACCGGTACCAATGCACAACCATTTAGCTAGTTTGTCATACAAACATTGAAACTGAATTCTAACTTTGACCATGAACTTTGCGCCAAAAAAACATTGACCATGTATTCGACTAATATAATATGAGTTAAATGCCATAAAAGATATATCATTGGATTCATATTTGGATGAGGTTTCCAGCAGTATAACTTTGATGACATAATGATCATGATTTGTGAGTCAAAATTATTGTCAAAGTTAAACTCAAAATTCGAGCTGCCTTACATATTTGGACCAAAGAGTATATCCGAAGAAATTTCATCGTCGGCACTAATTATCTTGTCATTCCAATATGAAACTTCTAGAATATGTTGCTTTGTCATATTCGTATTAATGAACGTGTCCATCTCTAAAGCAAGGTAAAAACGAAAGGGAGATGATATTAACTACCAAACTTCCATGAAAGTGACGATAATACAACACACCACGCATGCAGCCCTGTGACGCCCGGAAAATTAAGCTACAGTGATCCTCTGCTAGTGATGCCACGTCACCTCAATTATAGTTGCTAATCTTGAGTTAGTTCAAAACCGGTCCAAAATTCAAAATTCAAATTAATGATAACGATAAAAGTTCTCAAAAATTAAAACTAAAAAGTTCGGTGGTTGTCAAATATTACATCGGTAATTATGGTGGAGCGCACACATTTTTATAAAGTATCTAGATAGACTAAGTAAAATAAAAAAAAGACAAAGAAAACAAAAATGGGAGGGGGGGAGGAAACCCCACTGGCCCAACGGGGCCAAGCCCACCTGGCCCAGTCGGCCAGCCCCCCTGGCCCGGCCCACCCCT